ATAGACGTGGCCTTCAGCTGACGCATTTTAACATCCACAACCACGGCCTCACGAGCACCCAGGTGGACATGGTCTGTGAGCAGATCGACAAGTATCGGGTCGCGGCGGCGTCCGACCCCACCCACCACCTGGTTATTGTGCAGGGCGACCTGAATTTTGGCCCCGACGAAGCTCTGGTGCTTCATCGCCCTCTCCCTGCGCGTGCCTCTGATCCTCGGAACACAACAACAAAACCGGCACGGCTGGCTTACGCTCTCGGGGCCAGAAGGCCTTGAAGTATCTCCTCCTCGTCGGCGGCCACACACTATACGAAGCACACGCAAACTGGGCGCTAGTATCGACAGGTCTTTTGCTCACCTCTCACAAAACGGCCTAAACTCCCTTCCTCTACGACCATAATATGGGATATCATTTTACACCCGGGTCAAGCCCCAGCAACCAACCGCCAACATCCCTTGGCACCCTAAAGATCAACCTGGCTGGATGATGTGCCAAGTCCATGCTGAATCTACCACAGTTGGGGAGCCAGAGGCTTTGTCTCGTGCTCAAATATCTGACCATGCTGCGCTGGTGACAACGTTACGCCAGCGACATCATAGGCCTCGGGGTGAACAAGCTATCCCGCGGCACATCTTCCTGGACCCGCTCTTCAAGAAGCGTATCGAGGGGATGGTTGCTGATGGCCAGAACGCTATTGAGGCGCATGCTGGCTCTATTTATCAGGAGCATTTCAAAGAGATGCTCAAAGAAGCTGCGCGGGAGGTGCGTGACATGCTCTTCTCGCTGAAGGCGGAGAGTGATGAGACAGCGATCATCATGGCCCGCAGCTGCGCCCGAGCTGTATGGAGGCAAGACGCTCCACTGGCTCGGCGACTTATTTCGACATCGCAGTGGGCATCTGACGCACTGCAAATTGAAGGCTCACAAGTTCGCCTTCGACACCCTGAATCATTTCATTCATGGTCAGACGGAATCCACATGCGGCTTCTGGAAAAAGAACTGCAAGCCAATGCTGATCATGTTGCAGGTCTCTCTGTCTCTCATCGTCCTCTTTCCACCCGTCGTCGCCAACAGCTTCTGGAACGGAAGGCGACCATCTGGGCCCCCTTCTCTCGCCGTCTAATCCTGCAGAAGGTGCGGTCAGGGCCTGTCTTATCACATTCCCCTGAAGATCGTTTTCAAGCTTTGAGTACTTACTGGCGCCCCGTCTTCTCTCGAGGCTCTGTCCCAGCCCCCCGCATAGAGGCCTACCTCCAGGATCACCTGAATGTCCCCATTCACTGCGAAGTCCCACCTCCTACTAAAGCTGCTATGCGTCGTGCTGCGCGAGGTGCACGACATTCTGCCCCAGGGGTGGACGGCATCCCATATGCAGCTTGGAATGCCTCTGAGTGCTGCGTCGACGTGCTGTGCAACACCCTCGACTGGGTGCTCGGTGGAGGGACTCTCTTCGATGCTGCGAGTGTCACGCTACAGGCCTTCTTGCCCAAAGGTTCGGAGGAGGAGGACGAAGCCTCTGGAGGCTGTACGCGGTCTGCTGACAAAATTCGGGTGCTGGGACTCCGAAACACTGACCTGGAAATCATGACCTCTGTTGTCAATCGCTCGCTTCGGAAAGTGGTGGAGGAGGTTGTTCCCCGCTCGCAAAGAGGGCTTGTTGTCGGCCGTAACTTTGGTTACAATGTGATCGAACTCGACGGCGTAGGAAGGCTAGCTGCGGCTCACCCTCGCTCTGACCTGTGCGACCCCCTCTTGATCTCGTTTGATTATGGCCAGGCGTTCCCCAGTCTCTCCCAAGAGTACCTGCTGATGCTGATGAATAAGCTTGGGCTCCCTGGGCCTCTCATGTGGTTCCTCTCGTGGCTGTACCTCGCTATCCAAGGAGTCGTGGCCCACGCTGGCCAGATCATCCCCGTATACTGGCTGAGATCTGGGATTATTCAAGGATGCGGGCTCTCAGGGAGCCTATACGCCCTCGGCACAGCCCCCTTTCTCTGTGAACTGGAAGATACTTTGGAGTCTCCTGGATATGGCATCGCTCGGGCGTGTGCTGATGATATTGGGGCGGTGGTGTATGAAGCAAAGCACCTACAAGTCCTGTATGATGTGATGGTGGTCACTGAGTGTCTCACAGGGCTGAAGCTAAAACACATGAAGTGCAAAATTGCCCCGCTCAAGGCGGAGTTCTCCGAGCCCCTCCAGCACCACACTATGTCCCTCGTGGAGTGCCTTGTCCCTGCCTGGAGCGCCTTCGAAGTGACCTCCCAGATCCTCTACCTGGGCCTCCTGCTGGGCCCCGCCGTCACGGTTGACATGCAGTGGCTCGCCCCGCTGCAGAAGCTCAAATTGCGAGCCCGCCTGCTTGGGTCTGGGGCTGCCCCGGCTAGTATCAATGGTGTTCTGTACTCCTCCAGGGTGTTCTCTGTGGTCTCCTACGTGGCCCAATTCGTTCCGCTCCCTCAACGGCACGCGGCTATGGAACTGGGGATTCTGGCACAGGTCTTCAGAGCCCCTCTTGGCATGCTCACTTCGGCTGGTTGGGCCCAAATTGGCGAATGGGGAGGCCCTCGTATCCCACTGTTGCTCCACTCGTGCGCTGCTGCCTATGCTCGAGCCGCGCTAGTCACGTTCTCTAATCACACTACCATTCTTGAGCGCTTCCGACAACTGGAGTCCGAATGGAGACATTCCCTCATGGAAGGCCAATTTGATGATGCACCACTGGCGGCGACACGGGTGCGAGGAGATGCACTTGACCATACGGGCACGCACTGGCAGTCCCCATCACTCCTGCTGGGATTTGCGTCGGTTCTACAATCTGGCAGAGAGGCGGCTTATCCCCCCGAGATCAATGACACGTGCGTTCAGGCCATCGCCCAGGAGCTCCAAGTTAATGGCAGGAAGCCCAAGCCGCAACGTGCAGCCACACGAGCACTTCGGGAGATGCTGACAACGCCCTTCCCTCTTGCTTCGCTGGTGCAGCGACGGCTCTCGAAATATGTACATGAGTGGGAGCCGTTCCTGGATCGAGTGGATTGGACAAGGATCGGTGATCTTCTCTCACTGGTACCCATGAGCTGGGCCATGCCGGTTATTAAAACTTATTGCTCTGGATGGCTCACCGCTACGCGAATAAAGTATGCTGGAGGCTCTCGCCCATGTATCTTTGGTTGTCGAGGCCATGCAGATCGACAGTACCGTTATATGCGATGCCGTCCGCTTTGGACTGCGGTGTACCAAGCTTTGGGATATGAGATGCAGCCGCTCCTTCCTGACCGCCTGGGGCTTCGGCTCCCCGACCTCAAACACATTGAAACCTTGGCAGTTGCCTTCAACATCTACCACAATATGCGCTTTCGTCTATATGTCACTTCTAACGATCTTCGATCCAGCGCGAGAGCTGCTGTCAGAAACCTAAGGTTGGCCAAACCTGACGCTCAACTGCAAAAGAAATGGCAGCCCCCTGAGGCATTGACCCTCCACCGCCTACCTCAACAGTCGTCGACATCCTCGACCTCATCCAGTTCAGACGGGGATGACGACTCGCATTCTGAGCAACATGAAGATCCTTTTGATGATGATGGAATGGTCCCTGGCAGTCATGAGCACACCTCGAGGTACTTGAGCTTGGACAGCAAGCCCTGCGTCGACACTGATGGAGTTCGTTGCTCTGGCTCTGGCATGGGCAGGAATGATAATTTGTCACCATGCCTCACACCGCGGCTTGTCCCCACAGCCCACACCGATGATTGCAGCATCTCCTCTCCCTCCACACCTGGTACACCAGCGACCCTCATTGCGACGCCTCCCAGAGCCGAACACAGCGGTGACCACGACTACATCGAGCCCTCATCGCAAAGGAGGCTGGGTGCTGGCCACGTCAGAACGCCAAGTCCTGGCACTGGGTGCTCCTCGAGCCCAGATGTCCAGGCTCCTAGAGTAAAATGTGAAGAGTCGAAGAAGCTGGGCTCAGGAGCTGCGACTGCTGTTGTTAGAACGCAAAGTCCTGGCGGCGGGTGCTCCTCGTGCCCGTCGCGCCAGGCATCTGGAGTGAATTGCGAGGAGTGGTCTCACTGGTCGGCGGCTGACAGTACACTAAGCCTAATGCAGGGGTGCCCCTTGAACCATCGGCCGCAGGCTGCCGCGTATGGCTCTGTCTCCTCCATGATCGTGCGGCGCTCTCGACAAGGCTGTGTCCTGGCGACCTCTCCTGCTCATGCTGCTGTTCCCATGGCACCATGTACTCCCAGTGCGTCGTGCTCTCCGATGACCTCATCAGGACCCGCTTCGCGATCCTCTGGTACCCTGATGGCCAGCCCGTCGACCCAGAGTCTATCTCCTCATTCCCTGTGGTCCCCGCCGTGGATCCCACCCTGCTCTGAGTGCTCCCCTCCAAGGCCCTCCCGTCGCTGCATCTTCTCGACTGTCCCTGTGCCCTCTTTTGCCCCACACGCCCCGCCCTGTCCACCCACGCCAGATGCCACGCCTGCCATCCTGCCCGTTCTTCCTTCCTCGTCCCTTGTGACCTCCCTGCTGCTGCCCTCTGCCGTCTTCCCTCGCTTCTCTCCCCCGTTGTTTGATCTGCCACCGGCGTTTTCCCCGTCCCCTCCTCGGTCCGTCGCTCCGATGAGCTATGCTCCTGCTGTTGCGTGCCCCTTCCCCGCTTCTCCCCCCTCGTCGCTACCGACTGCGATTCGAGCGGCTGCGGCGTCCGATGCCGCTGTGCCCTCCCCTTAGTGTGGAGCTGAACCCCCCTGTACGCTGTCCTCCTCCTCATGCTCCTCCTCCTCCTCCTGCTCCTGCTCCTGCTCCTGCTGCTCCTCCTCCTCCTCCTCCTCCTCCTCCTCCTCCTCCTCCTCCTCCTCCTCCTCCTCCTCCTCCTCCTCCTCCTCTCCCGCCACCGTGCTTCGGTCGTGGACCGGAGGTCCCATGGAGGCCTGCGGCTGGGGAGAGGTGCATCGGGAGAGCCGGGGCCGGGTTGGGGCCGCGCGCGAGCCGAGGCTGCGCGCTGGAGCTCCTCGCGCAGCCGGAGACCGCCGCCTCCGTCGTCGTCGTCGAGCCTTCGTCCCTGGTCGTCGTCGAGCCTCGTCGTCGTCGAGCCCTCGCTGTCGTCGTCCTCTTCGTCGTCGCCGATCAAATTCGATGCGGGGGCGATCCGCGCACCGCCGCGCCCAGACCTCCGATGTTTTGAGTTTCTCAAGGCCGGGTCTCTGGAGGTCTGGACCTGTTCCCCGGAGCCGGCTCTTCATCCTCCGTCACTTTTTGTCGGCCGCGGGGCCCGGGGGGGGGCCCCCAGAGACCAGAAACGGCGAAGACGCTACAATGCCCCATGCGCTCCAAAAGTCGCAAAACAAGAACGCATTAGGGCCACGGCTCCTGCGAAGCGAACAAATTTAAGGCATGATAAAGCAAGTAGAAGCCCGCGCGGGAAAGAGCGCGCGTTGTGGGCGTTTGGAAATGGGGAGGTTCGAAGCAGCCCCCGCCCTGACTGAATTGCATGGGGGGTGTCATTGGCGATGGCGGCAGTTGCGCGCCACTCGCCTTGCCAGAGCCACCATGCGCGAATTCCGCACCAGACGCGTCATCTTCGAAGCCTCCAAAGGCCGAGAGCCTGGGCGCGCGCGACAGGCTCGCGGTAGCCCCGGATGCGAAACCAGGTTGAGCCGCATGTTGCAGTCGCAACCCCGATGAACTCCAGAATTGTCCGAGCGCCGTGGGCGGGAGATGCGGGTATGCAGTAAGTAGTGAAAGGTAGTGATCGGATCGACTGCACCTTGGGGTCCCTCGTGGGAAAGACCTGTGCTGGCAACAGTTGGCCAATTCAGTCCCAGGGCCGGTTCGCGACGTGTCGGGCCAATTCTTGCGCGCGGGTCCGGGAAGATGCCGGCGGGTGCCTGTGGATCTCCGGGCGGGAGGAACGTGAGCATGGGCGTTTGGGGTAATTATGCGGCGCGGGACTGCGACGAGCTTTCGTCGTTCGCGCCAAGAGGAGTTGGGGGTGGGAGGCCGTAGCCCCGCTGCCCTTTCCAAGTTGTAGCGCCCTTGCAGCGAAACCATGCAGGTCCAAGTCGACCAGCATTTCGACTGCTCGAGGCTGTCGTGCCCGTGCGACCTGAGAGACAAGGCGTAGTGATTGCTATTTCTGCCTTGGTGGGGCGTTTTGGGACTGGCGAGGGCTGCGCAGGCGTCCTCTGCTTAGAATAGCTCCAGAAGTGGCCAGCATGTGATGGCTTCCAGGGTTGCCTACTCGAGTCGCTCTGCGCCGTTCGCTCCGGATATTCAAGCGTTTGGTGGTTGCGATGAATTCTGCGGGCGCAATTACGACGCTGGACGGACATGCATCTTCGCAGTTCGGAGTGTTTGTTGAAGACAACCTGTTGGGAGAGTGCGAGTGCTGGCGTGTCGGCGCTTTTTTACCTAACAGCGAAGACTGAAAGGTTTCTAGTGGTCTCAAAAGCGAGCATCATGACTCCCCAGGGGGGTCTGGGCAGATGCCGGACGGGTGCCGCGGGAATCCGGGGATTCCCAATTTTGATTGCCAAGAGCTACATTTTGACTGCCCGGAGCCAACAGAACACCATTCTTGTACCACATGTTGAATGCCCGGAGCCAACTGTAGGCCACTTCGTGGTCTTCCCAGAACACCATTCCTGTACCATATTTTGATTGCCCGGAGCCAACTGTAGGCCACTTCGTGTTCTTCGTGTTCCCAGAACACCATTCCCAGGCCACATTTTGAATGCCCGGAGCCAGCTGTAGGCCACTTCGTGTTCTTCGTGGTCCCAGAACACCATTCCTGTACCATATTTTGATTGCCCGGAGCCAACTGTAGGCCACTTCGTGTCCTTCGTGGTCCCAGAACACCATTCCCAGGCCACATTTTGAATGCCTGGAGCCAACTGTAGGCCACTTCGTGTTCTTCGTGTTCCCAGAACACAATTCCTGTACCATATTTTGATTGCCCAGAGCCAACTGTTGTCCACTTCGTGATCTTCGTGTTCCCAGAACACCACTCCTGTGTCATATTTTGAATGCCCGAGCTGAGGAGGCTGAGGCTGAGGCAGGCTGAGGCTGAGGCTGAGGCTGAGGCTGAGGAGGCTGAGGCTGAGCAGGCTGAGGCTGAGGCAGGCTGAGGCTGAGGCTGAGGCAGGCTGAGGCTGAGGCTGAGGCTGAGGAGGCTGAGGCAGGCTGAGGCTGAGGCTGAGGCTGATGCAGGCTGAGGCTGAGAGGTTGACGCTGAGGCTGAGGCAGGCTGAGGCTGAGGCTGAGGCTGAGGCAAGCCGAGGCAGGCTGAGGCTGAGGCTGAAGCTAAGGCAGGCTGAGGCTGAGGCTGAGGCTGTGGGCTGAGGCTGACGCAAGCTGCGGCTGAGGCAGGCTGAGGCTGAGGCTGCTGCAGGCTGAGGCTGAGGCAGGCTGAGGCTGAGGCTGAGGCTGAGGCAGGCTAAGGCTGAGGCTGAGGCTGAGGCCGAGGCAGGCTGAGGCTGAGGCCGAGGCAAGCCGAGGCAGGCTGAGGCTGAGGCTGAGGCTGATGCTGAGGCAGGCTGAGGCTGAGACAGGCTGAGGCTGAGGCTGAGGCAGGCTGAGGCTGAGGCTGAGGCTGAGGCAGGCTCAGGCCGAGACAGGCTGAGGCTGAGACTGAGGCTGAGGCTGAGGATGAGGCCGAGGCAGGCCGAAGCTGAGACAAGGTGAGGCTGAATGGGGGGGGGAAGGGGGGGGGGGAGGAGGGGAGGCTGAGGCAGGCTGAGGCCGAGGCAGGCTGAGGCCGAGGCAGGCTGAGGCTGAGGCTGAGGCAGGCCGAGGCAGGCTGAGGCTGAGCAGGCTGAGGCTGAGGCTGAGGCTGAGGCAGGCTGAGGCCGAGGCAGGCTGAGGAGGCTGAGGCTGAGGCTGAGGCCGAGGCAGGCCGAAGCTGAGACAAGGTGAGGCTGAATGGGGGGGGAAGGGGGGGGGGGGGAGGAGGGGAGGCTGAGGCAGGCTGAGGCAGGCTGAGGCCGAGGCAGGGGAGGCTGAGGCTGAGGCTGAGGCAAGCCGAGGCAGGCTGAGGCTGAGGCTGAGGCTGAGGCTCAGGCAGGCTGAGGCTGAGGCAGGCTGAGGCTGAGGCTGACGCAGGCTGAGGCCGAGGCAGGCTGAAGCTGAGGCTGAGGCAGGCTGAGGCTGAGGCCGAGGCAAGCTGAGGCTGAGGCTGAGGCAGGCCGAGGCAGGCTGAGGCTGAGGCTGAAACTGAGGCAGTCTGAGGCATCCGTAGGAATTCATAGGAATCCTGGGGAATCCTGAGGAATCCGTAGGCATCCTTAGGAATCCGTAGGCATAGTTAAGCATCCTCAGGAATCCTTAGGATTCCTCAGGAATCCTCAGGAATCCCTAGGAACCCCTAGAAATCAGGATTCCGAAGGATTTCTGAGGTTTCCTATGGATTCCTATGGATTCCGAAGGATGCCTAAGGATGCCTTAGGAATCCCATGGAATCCTGAGGATTCCATTGGATCATAAGGCCGTTGCGAATGCGACTGCGACTGCGAGAACAGCAGAATTCTACAACTGGATTCTCACCTGAATCTTAAGGGGAATGCTTCCAGATATGCTTATACACATCGCTGTTAGATTGCTTTGCCAGGATAATCTTGTTTTCCTAACAGCGAAGACTGATAGGTTTCTAGTGGTCTCAAAAGAGAGCATCATGACTCCCCAGGGGGGTCTGGGCAGATGCCGGACGGATGCCGGGGAAAACCCGGGACTCCTCATTTTCACTGCCAGGAGCCACATTTTGACTGCCCGGAGCCAACAGAACACCACTCCCAGGCCACATTTTGAATGCCCGGAGCCAACTGTAGGCCACTTCGTGTTCTTCGGCTCCCAGAGCACAACTCCCAGGCCACATTTTGAATGACTGGAGCCAACTGTAGGCCACTTCGTGCTCTTCGTTTTCCCAGAACACCACTCCCAGGCCACATTTTGAATGCCCGGAGCCAACTGTAGGCCACTTCGTGTCCTTCGTGGTCCCAGAACACCATTCCTGTACCATATTTTGATTGCCCGGAGCCAACTGCAGGCCATTTCGTGTTCTTCGTGTTCCCAGAACACAATTCCTGCTACATATTTCGATTGCCCGGAGCCAACTGTAGGCCACTTCGTGTTCAACGTGGTCCCAGAACACCACTCCTGTGCCATAATTTGAATGCCCGAGCTGAGGCAGGCTAAGGCCGAGGCAGGCTGAGGCCGAGGCAGGCTGAGGCTGAGGCTAAGGCACGCCGAGACAAGTTGAGGCTGAGGCTGAGGCAGGCTGAGGCTGAGGCAGGCTGAGGCTGAGGCTGACGCAGGCTGAGGCTGAGGCAGGCTGAGGCTGAGGCTGAGGCAGGCTGAGGCAGGCTGAGGCAGGCTGAGGCTGAGGCTGAGGCCGAGGCAGGCTGAGACTGAGACTGAGGCAAGCCGAGACAGGCTGAGGCTGAGGCTGAGGCTGATGCTGAGGCAGGCTGAGGCTGAGACAGGCTGAGGCTGAGGCTGAGGCAGGCTGAGGCTGAGGCAGGCTGAGGCTGAGGCCGAGGCCGGCTCAGGCCGAGACAGGCTGAGGCTGAGACTGAGGCTGAGGCTGAAGATGAGGCCGAGGCAGGCCGAAGTTGAGACAAGGTGAGGCTGAATGGGGGGGGGGAAAGGGGGGGGAGGAGGAGGAGGAGGAGGAGGGGAGGCTGAGACAGGCTGAGGCCGAGGCAGGCTGAGGCCGAGGCAGGCTGAGGCTGAGGCTGAGGCAAGCCGAGGCAGGCTGAGGCCGAGGCCGAGGCTGAGGCTGAGGCAGGCTGAGGCTGAGGCTGACGCAGGCTGAGGCCGAGGCAGGCTGAGGCTGAGGCAGGCTGAGGCTGAGGTCGAGGCAGGCTGAGGCTGAGGCTGAGGCAAGCCGAGGCAGGCTGAGGCTGAGGCTGAAACTGAGGCAGGTTGAGGCATCCGTGGGAATCCATGGGAATCCTTAGGAATCCTTAGGAATCCTTCGGAATCTGTAGGCATCCTTTGGAATCCGTAGGCATAGTTAAGCATCCTCAG